AATGTTTTGAGAAACGATGTACAAATGCGCTTTACACAATTGATGTGTGTATGGATTGGGATAACAGTTGTATGAGCCCCTAATAAAATGCTAAACAACAAAAAAAAACTTTGTGTGCATGTGCTTTCTATCAAAATCTAATTTTGAAAATTACTTTTGACTAGATGTTTATTTTGCTATTTTATTATAAAATGTTAAAACCAGAAATAATATTTGGGGAACAAGTAATTGAGCCTCTTATTTGAGTCAAAAGAAATTCACAGTAAGTAGGGAGGTAGTTTATGTGTCCTCTGAAAGATTTATTTAAATGACTTTATATATAAAGGCATTTGTTTTAGGTTAAAGAGTTTGTTAAAAAATTTGCCTTTGATTTGGGGGGGAGAAAAGAATGAGTAAACTTTTGAGAAGGCGTCATTATAGGAAGTCTAAAGGTTTTTATTAGATTTATGAAAATGAATACTGCATTTATACTTCAAAAGTATGTATTAAAGTACTAACTTTCTATTTAGATAAGCCATCACAAAACTCAGAAAATGAACAAAATTCTGTTACTCTTGAAGTTCTGCTTGTAAAAGTTTGCCACAAAAAAAGAAAGGTAAGGAACTATATGTGACCTCCTCCTGGGGATGGACAACAGAAAAGTGGGTGAAGGGAGACGTCGGACAGGGCAAGATATTAATTTATAAACTATCAAGGGCTCATGAGGGAAGGGGGGAGCGGGGTGGGAGGGGAAAATGAGGACCTAATGCTGGGGGCTTAAGTGGAGAGAAAATGTTTTGAGAATGATGAGGGCAATGAACGTACAAATGAGTTTTACACAATTGATGTGTGTATGGATTGTGATAAGAGTTGTATGAGCCCCTAATAAAATGATTAGAAAGAAAAAAAACATCAAAAAAAAGAAAGGTAATGTATGAAGTGATTGTGGTAGATTAAGTGTATTGTTTCCTTTAATATGCTGATGCATATATATCAATTATATGTAAAAGCCAGTTTTAAGACTTTATAGCTCAAGAAATATGTTGATAGATGAATCACGAAACCAGTAATTTTGCCAACTCACAAGATCTTCATGTTTTTTTAATCTGGTAGGCCTCTGGGCAGAAATGTTCTCATATAGCTTTACAAAAGCAACTGATCCCGTGAACTTGGTTACTTTCCTTACTACTTTAGTCTCTTAGCTTTTTCCTTAGCTATTACATATTAAATTTTTAGCTAAGGACTAAGAGGGAGTTTTCCTTAAGGATTATCTTTTATAACCTACTTTTAGAGGGAAAATTAGGTTGCCAGCAATATTAGCCACTAAATTATTAATACACTGCTGCAACATTTTATTTATAAAATTAAATCAGTTCCCCAAAGAAACAAGCAGGACAATGGTTAAATTTCCTGGAAAATCCGCCCCCATTTGATGTAACAGTCATTTCAGTAACCCTACGTCCTTGAGTCTTGTAAGTAAGGACTCAATTGTTTAGAGGCTCCTGTTGCTCACGACCTTCCAAAATCAGGAGGCGATAATGGGCAAAAGCTGCTCAAGTATTTGTAGGGAGTGGGCTAAGTGATAAGTAGCAAGTAGTGTAACGATAAATTTAAAAGTAAGTATCAAGACCTATTCCCACCCGATTTATACACCTCTTGGGACAACAGTGATAGAAAAGTCCTTCAAGAGATATTATTATTTAGAAAAACATAAGATGGGGCTTTCTATTCCCATAAAGAGTTACACCGAGAAACCGTAGGGGCAGTTTTATCCTGCCCTCTGGTATTGCTCTGAGTTGGCATTGACTCCATGGTAGTGAGAGATAAAAACATAGAAAGTAAGATAAGTATAGCTTGATCTTTTTAAAAAACAATGTAATCAAACATTTTCTTGGAAGACTTACTCAATTGTTGTAGCCTATGATGAGTGAGATTTACAATTCTTGTTGTGTACTCTGAAAGTTAACAACAAAAGAAAGCAAGCTTGTATAAGAATGCTTCAAAAAATTTGTGGGGAATGGAATGGAAGATATTGAACTTTTCCATAAAACTTCTTGGAGCCCATTTTTATTTTTTCTGTGTACTTTATTGTTTAAAAAATAAGCTACCATTGGATTCACATTATATTGTTATAAAGATCTTTATCTTCCATTTCAACTACTTTCTTTCAGTATAACTCTGGTTTCATGACAATTATTTTCATGATTGATATCCTTTTTATTAAATGACATTTAAATATATGCATTTATTGTTTTATAATATTTTTAACAATAGAACTGTTATAATAGTTCTTTTTTAACTTCCAGTGCTCTTCTGAGTTGTTATATTAAATAGAAATTTAAAAGGGAAACATGAATTTACATGATTGTAAAATTTTAAACACTTAATATATTTTTAGTATTATGAAACTACTTTTATAATACTGTTATTTTGGTATTTGGAATATAATCATACAAGATTGTCGCATATCACAATTTATAGAACTGTGGATAGAATATTGGCATCCTATTTGATCATCATAACCTATACTGTCTTTTTTATTATCGAGTTAGGCGGGGGTTTATATGTTAGATTATTGTTTTTGCATTCACCTTTTTTTTTTTTTGCATTCACCATTTTAAACAATTTATCAAACCTCTTAGTATATACAATGTTTCTTATAGCCCTCATTTGAAGTTTTCATTTGAAAAATTTTAAGTTCTATACAAACAAATTAGATGTAATTTATTATTCTCTACCTTTGCAGGATGTAAGTTGTCCAATAAGGCAAGTTCCCACAGGTAAAAAGCAGGTGCCTTTGAATCCTGACCTCAATCAAACAAAACCTGGAAATTTCCCATCCCTTGCTGTTTCCAGTAATGAATTTGAACCTAGTAACAGCCATATGGTGAAGTCTTACTCATTGCTATTTAGAGTGACTCGTCCGGGAAGAAGAGAGTTTAATGGAATGATTAATGGAGAAACCAATGAAAATATTGGTAACTAAAAAATATATATATATATATTACTAAATTTGGGTTGATAAAAGTAAATGGAAACAGTGTTTCTTTTTGAGTTATTTATATTAAAAGCCTTGCTTTTCCAAGGAAGAAAATGGCCGTGCTAGAAATGCACTGCATGTATTCCAATAGCATGACCTTTATTTTATTTGCAAATCTCTTAAAGTATAATGAGATACTAATTTTATGGTAGATTGCCCTGCTCTTAGACTATTGGATATTGTGCTGTATTGGATAATTGCAATGTTAGGTTCTCATTACTGCATGATGAGCTTAAGGTTCATGTAGCAAAAATACATGGAATACTGAATGAAAAAGACTTGTTTTTCAAGTTATTCTTCACAATGTTTTATGTTTATCTTTCCAAACATTTTATTCTGAAAATTTTCTTAAAGAAAAGTTTAAGCAATTTGATACTATTTTTGTATCTACCATTTACTCTGCAGTTAGTATTCTATTACACATATTTGCCACCTATATCCTTTAATTCATTCCTCTGTTCTTCCAATAATTCTGTATTCATCTTTGAAGTAATCATTCACCCAACATTCTCTAGATACGGGGGATACAGAGATGATCAAATAAGATTCTTTCTCTCCAAAGGGAGACACAATTGTAGCAAAACAGTGGGTTTTATAATTGAGGTACAAGTTCAGTGGAGATGCAGTTAATTGTTTAGAAGGTGCAATGAAAGAAATAAACGTGCTTTAAAGTATCCTTTGAAGTTCTTGATAAGTACTCATAAGTAACGAGTTTGACTAGCAAGATTACTGTGGACAGAAAACAGCATTTGCAAAAATGGGGGATTATGTTAATGGATGTCAGAAAGTAAGGATACCTACATGAGGCAAAAATTAAAGAGTATGCTGAATGTTTTACCATTAATCTATGTCACTTGTAGTAAATGTTGCACGATAAGGAAATGTGTAGCATAATAGAGGCTTTGCTTGAGTGCTGGATTTATGAGAAGTCTTTGTCCGACCCAGATGTCAGTGAAGAGCCTCCCGCTAGAAGAAAACGGAACCGTGAGGACGGGGAGAAGACCTTTGTTGCACAGATGACGGTGTTTGACAAGAACAGGTAATGGTGACTGACAAGGGAGGTTCCATAATGTTCCAGAAAAGCTTTAATTTTGAAGCAGAGTATATTGGTGATCTTAAATATTTGTTTACCTTTCTCTTTAGTTTAATGGATGAAAAATTGTAAATTCTGGACTTTTCTATTTATCACATAAAGAGCACTAAATATAGATGAGAAACTGTTTGCATGGCTCAATTAAGATTGCTTATTTACCAAGTGCTTCTGAATGTCAGCTCATGTGCAGACTTGATTTAGAACCTAGTGGTGAGTGCAGTGAAAAGGGAAGGATGGGAGGTGGTGACTGTTTTATGTCGAAAAACCTCTAGGAGAGAGAAATAGTTGAACAGAGACTTGAAATGAGATACATCCATTGTAAACCTTGAGGTTTTATATTTACTAAATCTGAAGGAGAACATTGTATGTTGGGTATAATCATCAATACATGATCATATGAGGTTTCCTGTATGATTTTATTCTAAGAAAAAAAGTGTTAAACTTGTCTCTTATCAGTGGATGGCTGCACACAAATAGTCTCAGAAACGTTTTTTTTTTTGGCTAGCAAACAGGTCTTTATTTGCTCACAGTTTGGGGGGCTGGGAGTCTGACCCCGGCGTACAGGCTCTGGGGGAATGCCTTTTCTCTGTGTGCCAGCTCTCAGAAACCTTATTGTTAGGTTCTTTAAAAACATAAAAAGCCAAATCAAAATTGGCTTCTAAGTGCCTCTGCTGGGCCATTTTAATTCAAGGCCAGCAGGATTACCTCAGAAACTTATGGTTTCTGTTTTGGGGGACCCAAAAGGGATTATTTGGATAGATTCTCTCAAAAGATGCAGGACGATCCTAGGAGTTCATTAGGAAGACGTTTTAAGAAAGTGGAATACTGCATTGGTGAGAAAAAGACCAGGAAAGTTGCCCTGAGGATTCCCCCACCTCCCCCACCCCCCATCACATACCTCCTCATCCTTAGAGGATAGCTAAGACTGTCCTGTGAGAATTTTGCTGGTAAACTTTACCCCATACACCCTACAGCCATTTATCTTGTCCCTTTAGACTTCTCTGTTCCCCAAGCCCACAGAACATTGAAAAAGGAACACAATTTCAGTCCGTCGAGAATGCCAGCGTTGCCATTTTGACATGGTATAAATTAAGGTGTGCAGAATTCTTCAGGGAAGGATTAGAGAGATGAAAACATCGCTTTTAGAAGTGTGTAGACCTAGAGGCAGGATATCGCAAGAAACTTGAGCTTCAGTCACATTTAGATGTTTTTGTTTAATAAAGGTTCCTAAGATTTAAAAAAAATCGTTATTACCAATTTTAATAATAGAATATCAAAACAAAAACAAAAACCCTCACTTCTATGGAGTAAATTCTGACTCATAAAACTCTGTAAGGCAGAGTACAATTTAGGGTTGGCAGCCTTTATAGAAGCAGACTGCCACATCTTTCATAGAGTGACTGGTGGGATTGAACTACTGGCCTTTTAGCTAGCACCAGACAGTCAGAGAAATCTTCTAATCATAGAATAATGTGTGGTAAATAATGTAAGTTGCTTATGTATAACACTTCTTAGATTATATGACTATTAACCAAAAGTTCTTATGATTTTTGTAGCAGTATTTTTTCTTTACCCTTCTGTGCATTTGGCAGAGGGAAGCAGAGAACTTTCTGAATCCCCGTCAAATAGGAAGATGATGGTCAGTGAGAAAAATGGTTAGAATGTGACACATTGGTTGTTATTGGCTAGGGTGAATGTTCTATTTTAGATTGGTTTGGTATATATGTATTTAAAGTTCTTCTTGTCTTTCTTATATGCTAACATTTGAATGTATGAGAGGGCTTCAAAAAATTTGGTGAGAACTTTCAGTATCTTTTCATTTTTCTACGAACTTTTTGAAGCCTCCTTGTACAAATGAACAACCAATAGCTATCACATAATTAATTGTTAACGTGTGTTTGTTCTTTCTAAAACCATTTGAAAATTAAAGAGGTAAAAAAGGTCGCGTTTGCTCCTCATTCCTGAATACGTCAAGAACAAACACTAAGAAGAAGGTCATTGTACCTACATCACCACATTATTCTTCTTTACTCAGGAAATTGAACCTAACACAGTAGATACAGTAATATCTCCCCAACTGACTCTTAATTTTAAGCTATTTCTCCTAACTCCCTAGCAATCATTTCTTATCAATCCAGTGCCCTGCATTTCGAAATAATTCTGGCTCCTACCCTTTTTTAACCCTTTGTGATCCTTTTTCATTTTTTTAGTACAGTTTTGCAGAATTACTTTCAATTTTGACTAGTACCATTGTTATTTTATGTTTAAAAAACCGAAAGCAAACTCATTGCTCTCAAGTTGATACCTACTCATCATAATCCTTTAGGATAAGGTTGAATTGCTCCTGTGTGTTACAGAGACTATAACTCTTTTTTTTTTTTTTTTTGAGACTATAACTCTTTACTGGAGTAGAAAGCCCTGTCTTCTGATCTCATGATTCGATTCCGGTTAAACATTTTGGCAGAAAACTAATGCTAACCTGGTTTTTGTGCCCAATATCACAGACACAGGATTTACTTACTTGGCTAAACTGGTGTCTACTGTGCTGATATCTACTTCATTATAAGGGTACCCTTTTCCTTGTCTTAATTATATGCAATCTTTGGTATTATTTGAAATTAGACACAATTTCTTTATTACTCATTGGTCTTTTACTTAATAGTTTTAGGTTTACTGGAGTTTCCTAGTGGAATAAGTTACTATGGTATCTTCCAAGGGATACTTTTATATCATTTCTTCCACATTTGATTTCCTTTGCAACTTTTTTACAGTATCAGTATGAATTAATGAAATCTCTTAATTCATCCTGTTGTAATTTGCTTATGTTATTCATTATGAAAACAAAATTATCGTAAGTTGGCCATAAGGAACCTTCTAAGTGATCTTTGGGCTTTAAAATGACTTTATACATTTTTTAATATTTTCATATTTTCTAGAATAGTGAAATATTTCAGATGTACCTTTTCCTTTTTTTCTCTGCTCTGGAGCTGACCATTTTTAAGTTAAAATCTGGGCATTAGATGCATGAAGATTATACCTATAATCTTAGAGTTTAATAGCGCTTTAAAGAATGACCAAAATTTTAAAACTGTATAGCCAAGTATGAAATCCTTAATAAAATATTAATTTTAAAAAAAGTTCAGAAAGCAAAACCCCATCATGAATCATAATGAAAATGACAAGGCAGGAAGAAATTATTTTCAATTCATAATGATGTTTTGTTTGTATAATAGGAGAGGTCATTATTAAGTCAAAAAGAAAAATCCATAATCCAATAGAAGGATGGGCAAATGGTATGCATAGAAAGCTTACAAGAAAAGAAAACGTGTATGGTACTTAAACATTACAAAAGATGGTAAACACATCAGAATTAAAGTCCACTGAGATGCCATTTTTTCACTTATCAGATTGGCAGAGATAAAAGAAATTGATAAAGTACTGGTAATGAGGCTGTGGGGGGAAAGGACTCATACTTAATAGGTAGGGGAGTAAATTTGACTCTTATCTACCAGTTGTTAAATAAAAGTGGAATATTACATTGTTATGTAAAAGAATGAAGGAAAATGCTTTTCAATTTAGTAGATGTGACTATACTTATTTAAATTAAACATTATTAATAAATTAAAATTTTAAACTAGAAAGTGGAGTGGCTTTGCTGAAATACTACTGTAGTAGACTAATAAAACAAGTTATTTACACCCCCCACTCCATCTGTGCTTCAGTTTTGTTTTTTGAAATATAGACCTACTTGGAGTTTTTGCAAAATTAAATAAATTATGTGAAGTCTTTAGAACAATGAATGGCATGTAGTAAGCACCCAATAAATATTAACTATTCTCATCTAATCGAATTTCTTATAAGTCTGAATGAAATTAAGCTTACAATGAATTGAACATGGTTGAAAAATGGTTTTGGGGGGGTTATCATGGTCACCAGTGTTTATATATATAAACTATGTATACCTACACACACTTTAAGACACACATACATTTATAACTATACTTTGAGCATGGATATAAATTGATTCAACTGCTATTTTGTTATTTATTCCTGAAATATTTATTGAGCACTCATGTTCCAAGTACGTCTAGGATCTTATAAAAGTCATATAATCACCACCATTAGTTTACAGGTAAAGCATACGTAGTAAAGAATTCTTGTTCATGCATTTGCAATATTTAAAATGTGATTCCCTAAGTAAGGCAAATATTATAAAACTATTATAGTATTATAAAACTATAAGTATTATAAAACTTATTACCCCTTTTTTGAATTATAAAGCCTATGTACTTGCTTTATACTTAATGCTTTAAGCCTTGATTCGGTTTTCAGACTTAAATTTTAGTAACTAGGAATAATTATCTATTTTTATAGTTAATGCAAATCAGTAAAATTGCTGTGAATACTCTAAATATGTAGAATTTGTGTACACATAAATTTAACCCCAGCTACTCTAAAGCGTTTTATGTTCGTCAACAGGCGCTTACAACTTTTAGATGGGGAATATGAAGTAGCCATGCAGGAAATGGAAGAATGTCCTATAAGCAAGAAAAGAGCTACATGGGAAACTATTCTTGATGGGAAGGTATGGACTACTTAGAAGGATGAGTGTGTGCTAATTATGAGCTCCCACTTTTGATCGATGTTTTCTTCCTCAGGTGCCAATTTGTGTAGAAGTAATCCTATCATTTATATAATTTGAAAAACAATTAAAGAGTGATGTAGTCAAGAGTATTTAAAATGGAAGGCATCATGCTTGCCGCCAGACTACCTGAGTTCAAATACAGCTCTATTACTAGCTATTTGGCATTTTTCAAATTACTAATTTTATGTCTTAATTTTATTATCTGTAAAATACATGGAATTGATGGGTTACTTGATATTTATTTTAATAAAATATGCTTATCAATCATGCCTGGCATAAAATAAATGATCGATAAATATTAATTGCTATTATCTTACGTTCTAGTCACAACAGTAGGTAACAGGAGAACTAGTAATAAAATTTTCAAGAAATCTGTAGAACTCAGATGAAGCTTAACATTGAAGAGACATAAAAGAATAAATAGGCATATGTATATTTCTTGGATTGGAAGACTCAAGAAAGTAAAAGTTATTGAGTTCTAAATTTATAACGTCCGTGTATTTGGAAATAAAATTCCCGAAGAATGTCTTTAGGTCTTAAAGTTAGTTTCCGTTTAAATTAGAAGAGTAATTATGTAATAGTACTAAGTAAAATTGTAGGGGGTTAGCGAAAAATTGGAAAATGGTGACAAGGTAGCTTGACAATGCCTGCAACAAAGGGTTAAACTTCACAAATGTGAAGGTGGTCCAGGACCAGGCGGTGGTTTATCCTGTTGTACCTAGGGGTGTAGGGAGAGCAGTCTACTGAAGAGCACCTTGACTATTAAAGAATAGACTGTACTCTGCGGGAATAATAAGCTGTTTACTCATTGACGATTTTGATAGAGCTGATCTCTAGACATTTGGAAATAAACTTCTAGAAGGCTCAAAAGCAAATGTAAAAATTAACACTACCTAACTTCAGAAAAGTATTTAGGCAAATATCACTATGCACGTGCTGAAAAAGGCCCTTTAAAGTGTGATAAAGAGGCTAGAAGCACAAAGTAAAAAATTTTAGTAGTAAAAATATATAGTTTGTATATTACAAAGAAATGTAAAGGTAAAAAGAGAAGTGATTTATGAAGGTGAAATAGTTTGCGATGCACAAAGAGCAAATATGAATACAGTTTTATAAATCACAAACAAAAAGGTGGTAAGCAATTCAGTAGGAAAAATAAATGAAAGATAACCAAGCAGTGCTTATGAAGAATATATATGGCTAGTGAACATTTGAAAAGATGCTCAACTTTATTGATTTTAAAAACTTGCAGTCAGATATAATAATTTAACTAGCTTGACAATGATTAAAAGGATTGATAGTTTCTTGTGGTAGCGATGGAAGAACCCATCAATCTAAAATACTACTTTGATGTAAGTTGGAAGACTGACCAACAGTATATGTAGCAATTCAGATTGTACGAGGGGCCTTCAAAAAGTTTAAGGTAAAATTCTATTATCTTTTAATTTTTCCATAAACTTTCTGAAATCCCCATGTCTTTGACAGTAATTCTACGTCTAGAATCTGTTACAGGGAATAAATAGATAAGTGAAAAGGTATAGATAGAAATTCTTGGAAGCATTTTTCCAGTCATGAGATACTTAGAACAATCTAATTAAACAGATAGCCTTTAAAAAGTGTGATTATGATACTTGGAAAATAACATTTTCTGATATTTAATTTTTACATATTAATATACATAACTCCATTCCTGTAAAATTATGCTGTGACCTCCCTAGGTTATGGGACATCAAATGATTTTTAAATTTTCCAGTTACCTAGACTTTTGAGTTATCTATTAGGCATTTATTTGTATAAATATTTTAACTAAATTTGTTCTTTAAAGTGTGTGACAAAATAAGGATTAAATATGAGATTTTGTTGTTTACAGCATAATAAAATGGACACCCTTCTAATCTAGAACACAGGGATTTTCTTTTCTAAAGCTTGGGGTTTTGTTTTTTTTTAAAGTAAACGTCCCCATAACCAACCACACTGTAATGGTTAGGATATTTGAATTTTGTACATTTAAACCCAGGTTTTTTGGTTACACATTTAACTTGTTCCAGTTTAAAATTATAATATTTAAAGTATTTCTAATGAAAATATAGTTGTTTAGTCTTGTGTGGCAGTTTAAAAACAAACCCATTGAAGGTGTGTACAAAAGAGAATGACAGAAGGAAGCAAATCTATGAAAAGATTTATTTTGTCTCCTATGTAAAGTTTGTGGTTACGTGTTGGGCTGCTATGCAGAAGGTCAGCAATTCAAAAGCATTAGCCGCACTGTGGGAGAAAGACAGGACTTTCTATTCCTGTAAAATTACAGGCTGCAGAACTCACAGGGCAGTTGCACCCCCTCCTGTAGGGTTACTGTGGGCTCGGCATTGACTTGATGGCAGTGAGTTTGGTGGCTTTGAGTGTATAAGGCTTGGGGAAAAGTGAGGAAAAGCTAGGAAAGTAGTTGAGATATGATAATAAAGCAGTAGAAAGCTAGACTATTATGATTACTGAAGGAAGAGGAAGAAAGTATAGATGTTTCAGTAGGAATTTGGTGACGTGAAATGAAAGAATAGGGGTCAATGTGATTCCAGTTTTTTGTTTGTTTTTAGTTTAGGCATTCTAGTAGAATGATAATTACAAGGATAAAAATAATTGTACCTGAAAAGGAAAATTTATTTCAGAATAAAAGTTAAGAATTGATTTGTAAATATGGTTGAGTACAATGACAATCTTCAAGAACCAAGGGGAGGTAATGAATTCGGAGCTCAAGTATAAAGATTAGAGAAGAGATTTGGGATCATCAGCCTGAGGTCGAATCTTGTGGAGGATGAGTGGGAAATCGAAGCAGATGGCTAAAGATTAGGTCTGATTTGAGAACAAGAGAATAGTGTACGTATAAATAAAGAAGGAAAGCATACGAGAGTTCAGGACCACAAGACCAAAGAAGAGAAAAGCTATTGCAAGTGCAGCTGAGAGAAGTCAAGGAAAATTAATCATTGCCATAGCTGTTCAAGAAGCAAAAGAAAATTGCCCATATAAAGCAGAGGTTGCATATCGGCAGGCATTTAAGTATCACGTTTTAGAAAGGCTTTTTGAGTTACTCACCTACATTTAAAATTAGGAAGATTTCCCCTGTAATCTTGCACTGTGAATTTTGAAAAATCTGAAAATCTGGTTTTGCTGGACCAATACTTTATAAATGCGACAGTTTAATAATTGTAATAGGTGGCTGCCCTTTTTAGGCAGTCTGAGCACTACAGTTCTGCAGTGTCTCCCTTAAACATTTATTTTACTTTCTTGGCCCTCATTGTAGGTTTTCAGTGAGGGTTTTTATATGACATCATACTGAGTTGTTTTTTTAAATTCCTATAACTTAAATTTACTGTGTAAATCTTAACTCTCTTCATGGTTCCTTTTTTCTTTCTCAGAGGCTGCCTCCATTTGAAACATTTTCTCAGGGACCTACGTTGCAATTCACTCTTCGTTGGACAGGAGAGACCAATGATAAATCTACAGCTCCCATTGCCAAACCCCTTGCCACTAGAAATTCAGAGAGTCTTCATCAAGAAAACAAGCCTGGTTCAGTGAAACCTACTCAAACCATTGGTAAGAAAAACATCTTTCTTATACACTGGTACAGATAGGAACTGGAAATCCAGGGCGGATGATCCCTTCAGGACCAGTGGTGTGAGTGGCGATACTGGGAGCGTAGAGGTAGAGTGGGTTGGAAAGGGTGAACCGATCACAAGGATCTACATGTGACGGACAACAGAAAAGTGGGTGAAGGGAGACATCGGACAGGGCAAGATATGACAAAATAATAATTTATAAATTATCAAGGGCTCATGAGAGGGGGGGGAGTGGGGAGGGAGGGGGATAAAATGAGGAGCTGATGCCAGGGCCCTAGGTGGAGAGCAAATGTTTTGAGAATAACGAGGGCAATGAATGTACAAAAGTGCTTTACACAATTGATGTATGTATGGATTGTGATAAGTTGTATGAGCCCCTAATAAAATGATTAAAATAAATAAAGAAGGAAAAAAAGAAAAACATCTTTCTATGAAAGCAAAGGTTTGCAGAGTTACTCATGTTGCTCTCTTCACGGAATTAGTTTTTGGTAATAGTATTTGACTTATTAGGTGAGTCAGTTAGGATTCTCCTATATTCAATGTGAATTTTGTGTTGAAGTCTTGATCGATAATCCCTTACTCTATAAACTCTTGAACTAAACATGTATGACATTAATTTTCTCTGCAAACAATGTGCTACATAGTATAGTCATGTAGGACATACCTCTGTAGAGCTATTATATCAAAAATATAACAATTCTTAATCAGGGTATCGGGTCAGCTTTAGCTCTAGTGGTTACTTTGCATATGCTTAACACAAAAATGAGGGTGTCAGACTAGTTATTCCCAGTTCAGTCATGGTCATTGAAGTATAATTAACATCTGCATTTGTGAAATGTAGTAGGTGTACCAGAACATCTGGAATGGGAAATATTCCAAGTCCATACCCTGTAAGAATAATCTCCCGGGAAAAATAGGGCAATGTGTATTTTACATAGTAACAACAGGATATTGTTGTTGATTTCATTTCTTGAGGTGGGCTGTGTAAATATATGTAGTATGTTTGCTTGAAAACCAAACAGAAAAACCCCAGATTCTTTATCCCTCAAGCCTGTAATTGAATTATGGATTGTTATAATATCTGTAAGAGCTCCCAATACAATAATTTTTTTTATAAAGGAAGAAAAGTAAAATTGAAATGGACGTTAACAAACGTCCTGAAAAAGAGATACCCTAATTTTGTACAAATTGACCCTGGGGTGGGGAATGGGTGGAGTGGGACTGTCAAAATCTTGTGAAACAATGGGATTAAAAGTTAATAGAACAATTTCCCACAAATTTTTAAAAGCCCTTGTATATATGAGATACTTTTATCAGGAAAAAACCTTTTTTTCTCTTAATTCTGAAAGAAAATATACCAAAATTATTTTTTGTGATTTTTGTCTTTTAGATTTGGAGTAATTTATACAATCAGTTTTTACTCACTTTCCGCTAGACTAACAGTGATAAAAAATAATGACATGAGTTACTTAATGGATTAACACAAACGGGTGGATTTCATTTTTTTAATTTATTTTTTTTTTCGGGTGGATTTTAAAGAACAAAATCAGGACTGCCTATACTTAACATTCAACTTACCATATATACTTGTGGATTAGCCGAGTTTTCCAGCACATTTTTAATGCAGTTTTTGTGGTTAAATTAGGTGCCTTGCCTGATATTTGGGCTAGCTTATACTTGAGTATATACGGTAATTAGGAATGTTGATATAAGGTAAGGTGACCAGATTTTAACATTCGTAAAGCGGGACACCATTGATCAAACTCATATCCTGCCACATGGCAGCCGAAAACCGTATACCCTAGCTTGTTGTGCGTTCTTTCCAAAAATTGGGACTTTTTAAAAACTCCGCAGGACACGAGAAAAATTGGGATTGTCCCACCAAAACTTTTCTGTTGCCAGTTGAGGTGAGAACAATAATTGTATTAAAGACTACCATTAGAGTTTTGTGGAACCTTTAGTGTTAAAACATTGTATTTAACCATAGAAGCAAATAATTTGATTAAACGTAAAAGTATATCTTTTCAGCGGTTAAAGAATCATTGACTACAGAGCTACAAACAAGAAAAGAAAAAGATACTTCAAACGAGAATCGACAAAAATTAAGAATATTTTATCAGGTAAGCGTAATTGACTCCCGTTTTATTAAATAATCCTGAAAATCTATTTGTTATGGTATATATATAAAATGTATATAAGTTAAATGTAACATAAGAAGTACTTTGGCATATTAGATTTTAAAAAATCCTCTAACTTAGTTTTCCTTTTAGATTGTCTTTTCTCAATTACTGTAAAGATGAGATTGAAACATTTTTGGAGATGTGAAAGGTGGAAATTTGCCTCTTTCTTTCTTTATTTTCCCAGTTCCTTTATAACAATAATACAAGACAACAAACGGAAGCAAGAGATGACTTGCATTGTCCTTGGTGCACTCTGAACTGCCGCAAACTGTATAGTTTACTCAAGCATCTGAAACTCTGCCACAGCAGATTTATCTTCAATTATGTCGTGAGTACCTGCTCACTTTTTTCTTAACAGTGATATGTAGTAGAATAAATAGAAAATAACATGACTGTGAAGTTACCTTTTGTTAAATACTATCATTTTTGTAGAAGGAGAGCTATATGAGGGTGTGCCCCCTCCCCCCCAAAAAATAAATCCAGATTTTTTTCACCTAGAGTTGTGTATACAAAACAATCGTATGACCTTTAAAGTACTCTCCATTACACTTAATACATTTGTCAAATCTGCAATTCCATTCTTGGAAACATTTTTCAAATTCATCTGTTTGAAAGGATGACAGCACCTCCCTCCCACATTTTTTTCCTTCACCTCTTCTGTGTTGTCATATCACTGTTCTTTCATGTCCCTCTGCATTCACGGAAACAAAAAGAAATTGCATGGAGTAAGGTCAGATGAGTAAGGAGTGTGGGGCAAGAGAGGTGTGCTATTTTTAGCCAAAAACTGGTGCACTGAGATGGCTGCATGAGCTGGTGCATTGTCATGGCGGCAAAAACAGTCCTCAGAGCAGACTTTTTTGTTCCAGTTAGGTAATATTTTCAGAATCTCTAAATAGAAAGCTTGATTAACAGTCTGACCTGGTGGAATGAATTCAAATGCACTACGAGTTGACATTTCCATCTGTTTGGGAGGTTCATGGACATCCAGAAGAGGTTTGTCATCAAGTAACATTTCACCATTTTTTGAAGTGAGAAATCCACTCATATTGAGTTTTACCCATAGCGCTGTCCTTGTAAGAAAATGAGGTTTGCGCAAAACTGTATTTGTAGAAAAATTCACTGTGACCGGAGAGAATCTTCCCAGGCGACATCACAGGGTATACTAACTCAGAGCAAGTTGCTCCATGCTCGCCTAGCAGGGAAACTGCATACTACGAAAACTTTGCTCAGCCCAACCCAATTTCAGGTTGGTTTTTTTTTGGTGGGGGGTATCCCCCTTCTATACATGAATTACACTGGATGAATCATTTTACATGTTTGGAATAATAACATTTGCATACTGTACATGTACTGACCAAGCTTACCCTCATAGTCTTTTTGATTGAAGTAGTGTCACCAAGCTAGTAATGACATATTCAGAATTTTATTCTTTTGATTCTGGGTCTCTGACTTTATGTTCATTATGCTGATGTGCCTGACCAGTTTCAGGCTTCAGCACTTAAGAACCCACAGATATTTAAACTGCAGAATGTGTATTTGGTAGGATAACTTTCCCCCCCCTAAATTCCTTGCTATTTGTGTTGCAGTATCATCCAAAAGGTGCTAGGATAGATGTTTCTATCAACGAGTGTTATGATGGCTCCTACGCAGGAAATCCTCAGGATATTCATCGCCAACCTGGATTTGCTTTTAGTCGAAATGGTCCGGTAAAGAGAACTCCTATCACACACATACTTGTGTGCAGGTAGGTAAAAACGGTCAAGAACAAATATTCACTGTGACGCCTCAGTATTAATGTTGGAAGAACCATAACGGAGCCAGACATCACAGTTGAGTTGGGAAATCCCCAGTGCAACAGTATTTTAGTAGTAGCTAGTTCCCGTGGCGTGGTGTGATGCTTTTGTAACCCTTTCCAGCTCTTAATTCCAGTGGGCTTTCTTACCTCCTCCCTAGACTTGCTTTATTTAACTGTTCATGTCAGCATTGCTTAGTGAGGTGAAACGGCTCATGTTGTTGTGGATACATCTAGGTAGCAGTAGGATGGATTCTACTTGGGTAGTGTGGAAAAGAAAGAAGCTGCCCCTGTCACTGCATATTCTCCATGGAGTATCCTCAAGAGCAGTATCTGGGACTGGGTTCTTAACACTTTCCAGTCACAGTGGCACATTCATGTCAGCTGGTTTACTACTGAGATTAAAGCTACAAAAAAATATTTTTTTAGTTTTGCCAAACTGAAAATAAACCCTGGGTTGCTTTTTGTGTTGGAACAATGTTGTGATTTCTCTGCTTTGTGATATTGCAGGGTTTGATATTCTAGACCACCACACAAAAAAATGAATATTAAAAGAAAGCACACAATTTCTTTGGTTTCCCAGTGCGTATAAAAATTATGCATACACTATACTGTAGTCTGCAATAGCATTATGAAAAAGTCTCAATAGTGTGAGACAGTAATTACAAAAATATAACACAGACAAAGTAAGCATGCCTTGTTGGAAAAATTAGACTTGTTTGATGCAAGGTTACCAAAAATAGTCAATTTGTTTAAAAACAGAAAACAACCAGTGTCTTTGAAGTATGAGATGAGATATGCCTGCATACCTAAGTACATTTTGACACAACCATTTTTTTTTGTCTAGAAAAGAATGATGGCAACGTATGTACAAATATGCTTGATATTATCGATATATGGATTATTATAAGCGTAAGAGCCCCCAATAAAATGATTGTTTAATTAAAAAAAAGCTTTCATTTATTTTTTAAAAGTCATTGTATTGGGGGCTCATACAACTCCTATCACAATCCATGCATACATCAATTGTGTAAAGCATATTTGTACATTTGTTGCCTTCATCCTCAAAACATTTGCTCTCCACCTAGGGCCCTGGCATCAGCTCCTCATTTTATCCCCCTCCCTCCCCTCTCCCCCCTCTCTCATGAGCCCTTGATAATTTATAAATTATTATTTTGTCCTATCTTGCCCTGGCCGACGTCTCCCTTCACCCACTATTCTGTTGTCCATCCCCCAGGGAGGAGGTTATATGTAGATCCCTGTAATCGGTTCCCCCTTTCTACCCTACCCTCCCTCCACCATCCAAAAACAAGCTTTTATATGCATGTCATCTATTTTTTTCTGCGACTTAAACTATCCCCTTTTCACCGTGTGTCCCTCTTTTTCTAGGTTTATTTTACAAACCTAGAAAGACAAGTTTATTCTGAATACTTTGGTATTTGAATTACTCTGTCAAGTCTGCTTTGCATTATGTGCAGAAAGAAAATAACCTTTATTGTAGTTGTTTCAGGGGGTGGCGGTATTTCCTCAAAAAGAGTTGCTTCATGTTTATCTCAAATAGTTGGTGTGTGGTCACTTTTAGAAAAAGTGTTATTTTATCAAATTTTTGTTGCTCTTAATGCAAAGTGATATGATATTGATATCGTCTTATGTCAGTGTTCTTTTTTTTAACTAGGCCAAAACGAACAAAAGCAAGCATGTCTGAATTTCTTGAATCTGAAGATGGAGAAGTAGAACAGCAACGAACATACAGTAGTGGACACAATCGCCTGTATTTCCATAGCGATACCTGCTTACCTCTCCGTCCACAAGAAATGGAAGTAGATAGTGAAGATGAAAAAGATCCTGAATGGCTAAGAGAAAAAACCATTACAGTAATTATCATTATTAGCATTTCTCTTAGAATTTAATGATTAAATGAATTTGTTGAAAAGTCAGCAATAGGAATTAGAGTTTTGACTTGAGCAAAGTAGTTTTGCCCAGTTTAAATGTGCTATTTAAAGAATTCAAGAGTATATGTGTTTTATAATCATTTCCAACTAAAGAAAAGCCATATTTTCTTAATCTTACTTTGTATTGTGTATTTTCATATATAATATAGTCATACTTTGCTTAACATTCATGATACACTATGTGAAGTAGGATATTATGTGATTTGAACCTCGTGAAAACACCATATTATATAGAGGCAATACAAGATAACAGACAAGTCACATTCCTAAATCCGTCTTTAAGTTGAGTTTGTATGTGAGACAACAGTTAGATACCTTTGCATCTGATTGCAGTCAGTCAAACACTTGTCTTAGTGCCAAAAACAATAACAGAACCAAAGTCTCTGCCACCTGCCATCATGTTCATGTCTACTCCTGAGCGAGCAGACAGGACAGATTAGAGCCGCCCTTGTGAGGCTATAATTCTTTACTTAAGTAGAAAGCCTCATCTTTGCCCCATGGAGTGGCTGGTGGGTTTGAACCCTGACCTTGTAATTAGCCCAGTGCATAACCCATTTCACTGTCAAAGCTCCTGGTCTTAGTATACGTGTAAGTCAAGAAGTTTGCTACTGGACATTTAGTTATATGTGCACTCCACAAACAACACTTTTTCGACTCTGTTTCTGCAATCAGTGGATAACTGCAGACAAGTTCCCTCTGTCATTTACATGTCTCAATCTCATTAGACCGCCTTCATTAAAAAAAAAAAGGTCCAGTCAAATAGTAGCTTCCAAGGAGTTCTCCTGTGCCAATTCAGTCAAGTGCACAGAGGCCAGATCAGAATATCATGGGGCTTCTTAGAAAGAAGTTTCTATCAAATTTCAACTGTTGAGTAAAAGGCTAGGAAAATTGCAGTAAGGACTTTTTTTGTTCTATCACAACATTGTATCTTTCTGCTCACGCTCCAAGTCCTATGAGAGTTTCAATTAAAAATGTTACCTTACACCTTCCGGCCCTGATCTTGCTTCTTTACGCTTGCTTTTGTTCCCCTACCTAAGAACATTTAAAAGGAACACCATTGGAGTTGCTCGAGGATGCCAAAACCGCTGTTTTAACATGTTGTCAATCAAAGAATTCAGAGTTGTCTAGCTAAAGGGCTCCTTCACTGCCATCACGTCAACTCCGACTCATTGTGACTCTATGGGGTGGGGTAGAATTGGCCCTGTGACTTTCCAAGACTAACTGTTTATAGGCCCATCGGGTGGGTGGTAGTTTAAACTGTAGACCTTGTGGAATGCAGCCTAGTGCTTAACCTCTGAGCCACCTGGGCTCTGAAAGGTTAGAGATGGAATTACTGCCATCAGAAATTGGATAGGCCTTAAAAGCAGGCTATGTCAAGAAACAGTCGCTTAATAAAGAGACATTTTTTGTTTAATATAGGTTTCTATGGTTTTGTAGCAAAACTTTTTGACAGCATTGTATAGAGTGTACATTTCTGTGCATTAAAAACACCTTTTTAATATCATTTTATTAGGGACTCATACAACTCTTACCACAATCCATACATACATCTATTGTGTAAAGCACATTTGCACATTCATTGCCCTCATTATTCTCAAAACATTTGCTCTCTACTTTAGGCCTCTGGCATCAGGTCCTCATTTTTTTCCCCCTCCCTTCCCGCTCCCTCATGAACCCTTGATAATTTGTAAATTATTATTTTGTCATATCTTGCCCTGTCCAACGTCTCCCTTCACCCACTTTTCTGTTGTCTGTCCCCCAGGGAGGAGGTCACATGTAGATCCTTGTAATCGGTTCTCCCTTTCCAACCCACCCTCCCTCTACGCTCCCAGTATTGCCACTCTCACCACTGGTCCTGAAGGGATCATCTGCCCTGGATTCCCTGTGTTTCCAGTTCCTATCTGTACCAGTGTACATCCTCTGGTCTAGCCAGACTTGCAAGGTAGAATTCGGATCATAATAGTGGGGGGTGGGGGGAGAGGAAGTATTTTGGAACTATAAGAAAGTTGTAGTTTTCATCGTTGCTACATCGCACCCTGACTGGCTTGTCTCCTCTCCAAGACTCCTCTGCAAGGGCATCTCCTAAAAAGTATTTCCTGTCCTCTAAAACATCGCTAACAATGCAGTTGTAATTTTTTGGTGTGCATTGTACTAGCACCCATTTATTACTGTGAATCATTGTGTGTACCCTTGAATTTTTAATAAAATACACTTCATAGGCTGCTTTGGAACTACAGACAGAAAAACACATTGCTCAAGCATGTAATATGTGGCTCATAAACTTTCATAACAAGTAGAAAATTATTTTGTTTCCTTTTTTATTTCAAAACATTTTTTTACAAGATTGAAATTTTTCTTAGAACTACCTATTATAGTCATTATGTATTTAAGTAGGTTTTGTTTCTTGTTTTCAGCAAATTGAAGAATTTTCTGATGTTAATGAAGGAGAGAAAGAAGTGATGAAATTATGGAATCTCCATGTCATGAAGCATGGGTAGGATATTTCTAAATGCATTTAAATACTTATTCATCTCGATGCTCTTGATGCTCTATATTCTGTGAATCTGTATTAGACTCCAATCAAACATTTCATCACTTTAGATAAAAAAATTTTACTTGTCCAAAGTATTATAATTGCATATAAAAAAAGTGATGTTCAAGGAATCAGTATCATTCCATCTAACCACAGATTTTTATTTTTAATTTCTATAAAATAGGTCTCAAGTTTCTTTCAGTATAGTTAAATAATAATCTTAGTAGTTATGATCAACTGAGTTAAATGCAACCTTTTAACTTAATGTAACTTTTAACAAGGTAAAGGCAGAATATCTGATAGAAATAGAACAAGTCGTCTTTTGACTTCGGGGCTTTCTTGCATTGAACTATTGACCTGTTAATATACATATTTTTCCTTTCTATCATCTTTTTAGAACCTCATTTAATGATTTCTTCTGTAGCACAGATATTCACAGCTTTTTAATTTATGGATCATTGAGACAAATGCAGTACTTTTGTTCTTTATTCCTGAGGAGTGAAAAGGAGTTGGTATCTAAGTTCTGGTTCAAGTGTCCATTGTCTGCATTTTTTGGTTTTTACATTTTTAAAGGATTTTAAAAAGTGGAGTTGACATGTGGCCCCCACAGCCTAAAATATTTTATTACCGTATATACTTGAGTATAAGCCGACCCAAATACCAGCCGAGGCATCTAGTTTTACCACAAAAAATGCTTTAAAAATGTTGTGAAAACTCAGCTTATAGAGGATATAAGGTATTTGACCCCATAAAGAAAAAGTTTGCCTATCCTCTGACCTTGTCCTAAAATCATTAAATGGAAGGTGTATGAGGGTGCTTCAGAAGTTCCTGAGATAATGCCATCTTCTTCTTAAATTAATTTGAAAATGCCACATCTTTTATTTCATTTTCCACTTGTTGAAGCTCCTTGATAGATAGATAGATAAAATTTTCCCTATTGTTCTAATATGCCAGTATCAAGATGTTATTTTAGTGAAATTACTTCACTCTGTTCTGATTTTCATTCTTTGATCCAAATCTGTTGTATATAAACTATTGTGGTTCGTGAAATAGTAATGGTGACAGGTCGTTAGTTGAGGTAGGTGAACTAATTAGGATTTTCATTAGATTTCTAGGCAGGCCCTGAGACTGTGATGGACTTTCAGTTTCTACAATAACAGTCATTTTCCAGTTTAATTTCAGTTGGTTCTCCACATTTATTTATTGTTCATAGACCTAACCTCACTCACACTGGCTTTTTACCATCAGAGGCACATGATAACCTCACTTTGTGTGGCATTTTTTTGAATGTTTACCACGAATCGAATGTATAGAGAGAGAAGTATTGCTGTTAGAAGGGGAAATATGGCAAGGTCAAGGGAGAGAATAAAAGGACATCATGAGAGTTAATTCCATTAGGAAGTCTGTACTATTGTAATGGAACAAATCTTGGTGGTGCAGTGGTTATGGATGAACTGAAAGACTGGCAGTTAATATCCCCCCCAATGTGTGCCATACCCTACCTGCCCCCCAATCCATGGGAGAGAGACCTGGTTGTGTTTTCATAGCGAGAACAGCCAAGAAAACCTATAGAGCAGCTTTACTCTCTCACCTGGGTCATGATGACGCAGTACCAGACAAGAACCAACTTCTGATGGCATCTGGCCGAGCACTGGTTTCAATGAAATTTCTTAAGTGCCTGAAATGCTAAGCACGTTCAGTGATAGAACTTCACTACAGCTGTGCTGCTTGGAGGTGTTTTTACATTTCTTTAATGGCTATCACTACTGCATTTAGCAAAAAAGCTTTATCTTGCTGCTGATTTATGTTTGTCTTTTAACAAAACAGGTTTATTGCTGACAATCAAATGAATCATGCCTGTATGCTGTTTGTAGAAAATTATGGACAGAAAATAATTAAGAAGAATTTATGTCGAAACTTCATGCTTCATCTAGTCAGCATGCATGACTTTAATCTTATTAGCATCATGTCAATAGATAAAGCTGTTACGAAGCTCCGTGAAATGCAGCAAAAACTAGAAAAAGGAGAATCTGCTTCCCCTGCAAATGAAGAAATTACTGAAGAACAAAATGGGACAACCAATGGATTTAGTGAAATTAACTCAAAAGAGAAAGCTTTGGAAACAGATGGTGTCTCAGGGGTTTCAAAACAGAGCAAAAAACAAAAACTCTGAAAAGGCCTGACCCCGTATTATGGACAAAACACTGAAATGATGTTCTAGGGAATTCAGCCTCTAGGAAGAGAGTATGTATGAGTTAGTGAGAGTGAGAGAGAAAGAGAGAGAGTGTGTGTGTGTGTGTGTGTCTGTGTGTGTTGTTTTAAATCATAAGTTCCAAACAGGCACAGTTAGATGAAGTAAATGATTTCAACACAAATATTTGTATTAGGGTCCTCCTTCACTTCATTACACACCTGTTAAATATGGAAATCAGTTTTATTGATGCCATTACAACATTCTCTAGTTGAGCATGAAAAGTATACTTCAAAGAAAGCTGTGTTGGTTTTTTTTTTATTTCCCCCAATTTCAACAATTAGGAAATATTAAATTGATGATCTAGACATTATTTCAAATAGTTAAATTACAATGTTATTAGCATTTGTGACTGGCTGTTTTTCTACTCTGTAATTGTAAGACATTTTCTTGGGGGAGGAAAATTGGAATGCGTTTCACTTTTTTTAAAATCAAAAATTTTGGTCAAATTACGTTCGATTACTATTTGTAATCAAAAATTGATCCCTGAATTTGAAATCATTGAACAATTTGGAATGAAAAACTATAATGTAAGATGATTTTACATTAAATAAGTTCTTTTTACAATTTAAAAATAGCACTTCGTCGTATGCCTGTTTGAAATGTTAATTTTTCACATTTGTTGACAGTGAAATCCCATATTGATTTATACAGTTACTGACCATTTGTTTTTATGTGGATAATTATAGTGTATTGCTCACCCAGTATACTCTTTTAAACTTGAACATGTTTCTGTTTCTGGCTTTTCTTTTTAATTTGGTAAATCACATGGAAAATTCAACTGTCCACATCTTTTATACAGGATTGTAAACCAAGAGGAGAATGAGTTAGATTTTCAAGATGCCCCTTTCAAGGGGGAAATGTTCAATAAAAATAACCAGAAAATACACACACACACACACACACACACACACCTGTTTTTGTTTTTTCTTTTCTCTAGCAAGGACGTCTTTGTAATGTATTTTACGATTTAATATCTATTACAGATAAGCTGACTTGAATAATTTTGAGCAATTTTGCCCTGTGTTCTATGTGCTTAATGCACATATTTGCAGTTGGATTTTCTCCAACAGAAAGTGGTTTCACTACTGGCACATTAACACACCACCAATAGGTTTTTATTCCAACTCCAAGCACTGTGGTTGAGTAAAATCACCTCAATTTTTTATTATCCTTAAAGATATTGCATTTTCATATTCTTTATTTATAAAGGATCAATGCTGCTGTAAATACAGGTATTTTTAATTTTTTAATTTCATTCCATCACCATCAGATGCAGTTCCCTATTTTGTTTAATGAAGGGATATATAAGCCTTCTAATGGTGTCTTCAGAAATTTATAAAATGTAAATACTGATTGGTCTTTAAGATGTGTTTAACTGTGAGACTATTTAACTAATTATGTGGATGTGATTTGTCATCCAGTATTAAGTTCCTAGTCATTGATTTTTGTGTTTCAAAATAGGGAAGAGGGAAACTGCAGCTTTCATTACAGACTCCTTGAATTGGTAAGCTCTCCAAATGATGACTTACAGCAAAGTCTAATTATGTCTCTGGATATTAGAGCTCAAGAATTTCTTTCAGACTTTAATTTGCTAAAGCTGTGCACATATTGTAAAAAACAAACAAAAAATAGATTTTTTTAGGGGAGATGTAGGTGTAGAATTATTGCTTATGTCATTTCTTAAGCAGTTATGCTCTTAATGCTTAAAAGAAGGCTAGCATTGTTTGCACAAAAAGTTGGTGATTCCCTCCCCCAAATAGTAATGAAATTACTTTTGTTGAGTAAACTTTTTATGTCATCTTATAAAAAAAACGGAAAAAAATCTGTTTCTATTTATAAAAAAAAATGCTTTTCTATATGTAGCCTTGATAAGAGATTTTGAAGAAATCATGTAAGATGATAAAGCATTTGAATGGTACAATAGTTGTAAAAAAAATTCAGTTTAAAAGAACTTTTGTTTTTACATTAAATGTTTTATTTGAAATCAAATGATTTTGTACATAAAGTTCAATAATATAAAAGCTGTATTGTTTTTACTTTTTTGTTATGTATGATTAATGCTTGCACTTACACGTTTGTCTTGGCTACCAGAATTAAAATTCTAGAAAAGGTACACAAAATAATGGAATTCAGCTAATAACGACTTGAGGAAAAATTGAAATGCTGCTTTCAATATTAGCAGTATCAATTGCAGCTTACATTTTCTGTGAAGCCCACAGGGCAGTTCTATCCTGTCTGGCGGGGTAACTGAGAGTCAGAATGGATTGGATGGCAGTGAGTTGTTTTAATTTGTTGGAAGTGGTGAGGAAGCAAATGATTTTTGTCATCAAGAGCGTATACAATGTACGTATAGAAAGATATAGGTCAAAGGATAAGTGGAGAGAATTCTTTTTTTTTTTTAACCCTACAAATTATCAATGACATTTTTTAAAAAACATTTTATTAGGGGCTCATACAACTCTTAGCACAATCCATACACACATCAATTGTGTAAAGCGCATTTGTACTGCATTCTCAGGAGAGAATTCTTGACTATGAAGTTTGAACATGACTGTAGGCTGATGGGAGGAGATAGCAATTGATATTGTGAAATGAAAAAATATCCACCGATGTGAGCTTGGGTAGAATACCTCTAAAATGATAAAACTCACATTTTTTGGGTGGTTTCTATATAGGGATAACATTTACTCAAATTACTAAAACAAAAGTAAGACAGTGAAATGTCCGGTGGTATGGATCAATTTACAACACTGGTCCTGGGGAACAGGACTGACAGGCTCATCCAGTTGAATCTGGAGGCCTGTTGCCTCTTGTCAATGTTGGACTGTCAATCACAACATCAAGCAGTCACTCGGGGAGAGATGAGGCTGTACACAGGTACCTTACCTCTAGGGATGGGCCATACTGACAGTGCACCAAAGCACCTATTTTACCCAACAATCACGATTGTAAACCTGTATGTAATTTATTAGTATTTTTTTCTAGATTTTATTTAAATCGTTTTATTAGGGAGGGGCTCATACAACTCATCACAATTCATACATACATCAATTGTGTAAAGCACATTTGTGCATTCATTGCCCTCATCATTCTCAAAACATTTTCTCTCCACTTAAACCCCCGGCATCAGGTCCTCATTTTTCCCCTCCCTCCCCGCTTCCCGCTTCCTCATGAACCCTTGATAATTTATAAATTATTTTGTCATGTCTTGCCCTGTCCGACGTCTCCCTTCACCCACTTTTCTATTGTCCGTCCCCCAGGGAGGTCACATGTAGATCCTCGTAATCGGTTCACCCTTTC